TAATTAACTATATATGTTTAATTTTTTTATATGATATCGAAGATTGATCATACAATAGATGGTTTAACATGCCAAAAATATTATATGCTAAGTGAATATAATATGATCAAGTATTACAAGTACATCATTTAATAAAATAAATAATCAACAACCGGAAAATCATACCCGCGCTGGCGCGCGGGTCAAGGTCTAGTCTATATTATTAAAAGAGAAGTACCCATATAAAATACCCCTAAATTTTACCACTTAATTACAATTTCATGCCACTGAAGTAATTAAATATCCTAACATTAATATTCTTTGTCTTCTCCTTTTGTATTAATGCATTTCCTAATTCTATTTTTACCTAAAAACATGGAAACAATAATTTAGGAAAATCTGAATCGCATTCCATATTTAAATTTGACCAGATATATTAACTAAAAACACGGCAACATTTAATTTTTATCTTAAAACATGGTTACATACTATTAATTAATCTGACCAGAGTTTTCTATATTAGAAATATAAAACAAAGTATGTATTATAAATATTTTATATTCTTTTTAAAAAATTTATTCAAATATATAATATTACACAATAAGTTATATAATTCAGTATATAAACTTACTGCTATAATATAAAAAGGTAATACACATGTCTGGACCCAGGTTAGTCTTCATAGTTCAATAATTCATTAAATAAAATATACAACCAAAATAATTTACAAACAATTGAGAAATTGATCAATAAAAAATTGGATACATAAATATAATCCCAATCATTTTGTAAATGTTAGATTTATATGTCCAATTATTTATAAATGTCAATTTGTTATATGACACCAATATTGAATACAATCGATTTTAAATAAAACAAATATATTTATCTATGTAATTAATACTTTGACATATTAATAATTATATAATACATTTACATTTAGAGCGTATCTTTTACCATTTCGTAGAAACAAAAACTTCAAACTTCAAACTAATATGAAAAAAAATTAAAATTACGACAAAATTTTTTATTTGAAATAACCTAAATTTCTTCGAAGCAAATGTTGAATAAAAATAAATAAATTTCAAGATAACCTTCAAAATCTATGTTTAAAAAGAATATTTGATGGACATGAGAGTTCTCACCAAATTAATGAACCTCTATTTTTTTTCTTAATACAAACGGTCTTATCGGTATTAAAATAAAATATTTGGGTTAGTTCGGTATAAAAATAAAATATTTGGGTTAGTTGGGCCATTTGAACAGATATTTTAACAAAATTTAATTAAAATATGGTCCAACTTAAATTACCTTATCGAAGTTAGGTTTTTTAAAAGGTTTAGCTCACATATATTTATGAATTAACTCAATTTTGTTGTCAAAATTTGATCAAATGCACCTTTGCTATTTTTTTTAAAAAATGACTATTGGGTGAAGTTTACAGTAGTATTTGTACTATGTGATGTATTTTTTTCATCATTTTTATTATAATTTTTATAGATTATATAATAGTGTAAAAAATATTTAATTACATTACATAAACATAAAAACACCCGCCCGGTCGGGCGGGTCCAGCTCTAGTTGTTGTTATTTAAGGTGTTGAAGTTATCAAAAACAAAATTTTTGCGTACTAATTTGTCTAGATGCTAAGTTGGGTGAACCATGTTAAAGACTTGATGTATACTCGTTAATTGACGAGAGCAAGAAGACTGATAGTAATGTACATATATATAGTGTTTTGTATATAATAAGGATTTAGGAGATAAATATCATCGTATTTGGTTAGATATTGTATCTGATAAAATTTTAGGAGATACCATTGATCTTAGACTTTGTATAATAAATGTTTTATTTAATTAATACTGATCCTTTTAGTCTTACAAAAAAAACAATACTGGTTTTAATCCGAAATTAGCTCCTCATTTTTTATTTTTTTTTTGTACTGCAATTACGTTTTCCATATAACCATGACTATATTTAAACATATTTGAATTTATATATGCATTTCTTTTATTTCATGATTCTTTTTAGTAATCAAACATCGCAGCTCAAGCAGTCAAACTCTATACATATTTAGGTCCGACCCTGGAACATTGTGGGCTGGAAGTCCAATATCTGAAAAATTATTAAAACAAAGGTGAAAACGTTTATTCTTTCAAAAAAAAAAGTGAAAACGTGTTGGCCAATAACAAACTGAACTACTAGAGATTTTGTAAATACGATGGCCGAAATATATCCCCTATACACTGATTTACGAAGTGATTTTGCCACATGTACTCTTTAGAATCAGTTTCACAAAAAAATGGTAACATGTCTATTAGAATTGATGACATGACATATGATTAAATATGACATAGACAATTACATTTAATGTTAATATATATTTTTGGAAAACTTTATAGAATATGGTAACAACTCATATATTACATTTAATGTCGATTTATATTTTTGAAAATATTTTTAAAATATGGTAATAACTAATAAATCATCATTAAAATAAATATATACCAATATGGCATTAAAAATTTCGAAAATATCATTTAATTCTATATTTTAAAACTATACAATTTTATTACAAAAATTTCAAAAATGTATATTTTTGAAAATTATTAAAATTTAATCCTAAAATTATTAATTTCTTATATATTTAAAAATTTAATAAATATTGTGTAATTTAAATTTTTGATAATTATAAAATTGTGTACAAATTTATTTAATATATTTAATTAAAATAAATAGATAAAAAATTATCTAAGATTATAATTTTAAATATATACATGCATATTCTTAAATATAATTTAAAATAAACAAAAATATTTTTATATTACTTTTTATGTTTGATTAAACAAAAAATTGTATTAAAATAGTGATAATAAAAAGAACTCTTAAATTATCATTAAGATAATAAATAATATAATAGTAGAAATATAAATATAATAATATTAAAAATATTGAAATATTTTAATTGTATTTTTATAATTATATTTTTTTATTAATATTTTTTTTTTCAAAATTTTATGTATTTTTAAAAAATTAAAATTTTCTAATTCCAATACCATTAGCTTTATTTATAACATCTATAAATTTTAGAAATATTATTTAGTTTTATATTTTGATAATTATATATCTAACAAAATTTTCTTTTAATAGTATAGAACTAATTGAGTATAATTTAACCAGAAGATAAAAGATACATATATATTATTAAATATAAATTTAAGATTTTTTTCTTAAGATAGACCTAAAAAATTTTTAATCACAAATATAGACCTTATAAAATTGACCAAGATAGAATTAAATATTTTATCAAAAATAAGTAAATATACACTTATATCCTTTGGGTTAAATAATCGTAAACTTTTTTGTTTAAAGTTAAGGAGTGGAGCTCTGGGGATAGGATAACAAATTTTTTAAAAAAAAAAATTGAAATTTTCAAAATAAAAAATGTTATTTTGGTCATTTTAGTTTTAAGATCTATTTTTGTGAAAAAACCTAAAAATGTTCTATTTGAGAGAACTGTCATATATTTAAATAAAACTGTTTATTTTCTCTTAATTTTTGCATATAGTTAATGTAAAATTAATAATGTAATAAAATAATAAATTTAAAAATTAATTAAATTTTATTTTTAAATATAAATTTATTTTTAAAACTTTTGTTTCTGCACATGGTGCAGGAAGCCACCTAGTTTATTTTGAAATCAGGACATGTTTCCTCTGCTTCCCCTGAGGGCAGCTACTGTACATATTACATCTATCTTAGTAAAATTTCATTATTATTAATTTATTATTATTTGAATATATCTCCATAATTTTTTACATATATATACACTCGCATATGGTATCTATTATATAAAGAGATGTTTTTCTCCTCTTAAAGTGTGCCACCAAGGATCCACGTCACTAAGTCCACGTGGACAGACCCGAAATGGGTCTCTATTTTATCTGTTTCATTCCCATTAATATTGGGCTTTATTTTCATTTTGTGGCCCGTTTACGTTTTCTGTTGACCTAAAAGTTGTGTTCTCTACACGGCGACTCGCGGCTCTTGGTGTTCTTTGTCGCCTCTGATCACAAACGGCCGGAGTAAATGGTTCGGTTCCACTTGGTCGACATCTATGTTCTCTTCATGATAAATGCATGTAAGTCCTCTCCTTCAGATTCTTTTGTTCTACCCTTACCTTTTGAAATGGCTTATTCCAATCTTTTCTTCTCCGACTTGAAGATCGACCGGTGCTCATCCGGTGTTCATGCACAACTCCTCTGGTTCTGGGAAGCACGGCGTATGAGGCGCGGGGTCGAGATGCAGTTCATTTATTTGATACTCATAGATGGGAATGTAAGATTCATATCTCTGTTAAATTCTATTTGATTCGTTTTGTTCTCTCTCTTTATATTATGATAACGTGAGATTAGGAACTGATGGTTATGTGAGTCAGATTTATGAAAAACTATAAAAAAACCGAAACATTGAGGGTTGTTCAGGAGTTTCTGGGATCCGTTTAAGATTCATATCTCTGTTAACTTCTATTTGATTCGTTTTTTCTCTCTTTATGTTATGATTCTGTTTGTCTAAAACGTGAGATTCAGAATTGATGGTTATGTATGAAAATCTATAAAAAAAACAAATCATTGAGGGTTGTTCATGAGTTTCTGGGTTCCGTATATAGCTCTGTATTGGTTGTCAGATGTATATCATCTTGGACTCTTTAGGATGGGACATGTTGAAGTTGTTAAGTCATTGATAGGTAACGATGCAAGCATTGGGTTTGGTACTAATAAAAAGGAACAAACAGTGGCTGTCAAAGGTAAACAAGAAGGGATTGTTCTTGAATTGGTGAGGCCTGATCCTAAGGTCTTGAGTTTTGACGATAATAAAGGAAACACGCCATTGCATATTGCTATAAAGAAGAGCCGTACTAAGGTAACGTCATCATCTTTGAGTTTCTCAAATATACATGATTTCATCTTAGTAATTTCTTTTTTTTTGTCTTCACTTTGTATATAGTGAGGTGTTTGGTATTGTTTGATGAGATTAACCTCAATTCTCTGAACAAGGCGGGAGATACTGCACTTGATATAGCTGAAAAAATTGGAAACGCAGAGCTTGCGTTGGCTTTGAAGAAAGCAGGAGCTGCTACAGCTAAAGATCTTGGGAAGCCCCAGAACCCAGCTAAACAGCTTAAGCAAACGGTTAGAGACATCAGACACGAGGTACAGTCTCAAATCCAACAGTCTCGCCAAACAGGTGCTAAAGTTCAGAGGATAGAAAAGAGACTCAAGAAGCTTCACATTAACAGCCTGAACAACGCTATAAACTCAGCAACAGTTGTAGCTGTCCTAATAGCAACAGATGCATTTGCAGTCATCTTCACTATACCTGGACAATATGAAGAGGACATAACAAACGGACCATTGGTGTTAGTAGAAGCTAGGATAGCTAACCAAGCCCCTTTCTTGCTATTCTTTATATTCAACAGCTTGGCAGTGAAGCGTTGTTCGTATCTTTGGTGGTTGTTATGGTTCAGACATCAGTTGTAGTGATTGAATAGAAGACAAAGAAGAAGCTTATGTTTGTGATCAACAAGCTCATGTGGTACGGTACGTAGGTAAACTAATGGTGTGCAAAACATTGAATTTAAGCATGTATATGTAATGTTGTAGGAAGAGTCTAGCGTTCAAAATCTGGAATGACTTTTTGAAAATAAATAACTGAAAACTGGCAATAACATTTACAAAAGAAATGTATAAGAATTGATATGTGATTTTTTTTTTTTTTTTTTGTATATAGAGGAAGTCTACCATTTCTTTAGCCCTCCATCTTGCAAGCATTACACAAGGTTTTGGCACATTATCACAAGTTTTAAAAATTAAGAAATGATCTCTTTTTAATCATTTACCATTTAGAACACATCTAATAATAAAACTTTAGTAACCTATAAATCCTTTGTAATTATTAGTTTATTTTTAAAAATAATTAACTTAGAGAATTTCTTTCCATTTTTTGGTCACCAAACTAAATTTTAGAGAAATTAAGAAATAAAGTGAAAAGTTAAAACCAAAAATTTATTACATAATTAGAAAAAGATTTAAAAACATAACAGTTTGAAAATTAAGGAAATAACAAGATATAATAAAACAATAAAATTTTAGTTATAATACACAATATAACTCAAGTTTGGTGAAAATTTAGCCACCAAAAAATAATGCTGCTAAAGTATATAATCAAATATAAAAAAAAATTCAGAAAGTAATTAGAAAATTTCATAAAAAATAGAAAAATATTTTTACGATATTTTTTTCACGTTTTCTCAAACTCTTGCTAACGAAAAAGAGTGAATTTCTCAAAGTTCTTACAACTAACAATTGTTACACAATCAATCCAAAAAAAATTCAAAAATAGTTTGGAAAATAATAAGGCCTGACATGTTCAATTTTGACAATCAATTTTCTAATATCTTATATAAACAAACATTTTTTTCGAAATAATGAGTAAGTAACACATAATGTATAACAAAAATCTTTAAATTCCGCGCGAAGCGCAGATCGATCCTAGCTGATATTAATAATCAGTACGTGACAAGACAAAAGTATAACCCATAAAACATTAATCAAAATTACATATCACAAAGACTACAACTATATGAAGATTGCTAACATTACATCGATTTGCACATTTAACAAATGGAAAGTCAGAAATAATAATGTATAACCCAAAAACAATACGAAAATTAATAACCGAGATTGTATGTAAAGTATAACCCGCCCATTGGACAGGCCGGTCCTAGTTTATCATAATTTATTGCTGCAGGCACCAATTAGAGAGTAACATTGGTAAAGTGGTAGCTAGTAAATGCTCTGTACTCCGAGAAAAGGATTAGGAGTAGGATAAATTAATTTAAAAATGACAATAACAAGAAAAGAGCTATATAATGAAAATATTGATGTTCCATTGTTCAGAACTTCAGACTATAGTAATGTAAAATTAAGCTAGATTTGAACATGGTTCGAAGAGAGCTGCTCATTGTTGCTGATCCGGAAATCGTTGCCAACTCCAAAGATCCGTGGAATCCAAACCATTAATAGATGCATTGGTCTCACCACAATCATAAATAGCCTCATGATGATGATGATGTTCCTCGTCAAACCCTATTATTTCTTGCCACACCAATTGCAAGTCACTCTCTGTGGAAGAACCATGATGATGATTATTTTCCTCTTCATGGACCTCTTCATTCATCGAGGTCCTCAAACTAGGACACTTGGACTCTTCAGAATCCATGATGATCTCATCATGTTGAAGACAAGGCTTAATATTGGCTGTTATTTCGTTGGTGTTGCACGTGTGGTTTCCGATGTATGTGATGCTGAACATCCTAGATTCGAGCTCTAGCTTCTGCACTTGCTTTGTTGCCTTGCACCCTTGAGTGTATTTGTGTGTGCACCTAAAGTAACTTCTGCAAAACATCAATAAAAAGAGAAAAATTAAGACTAAATATCTATGTCACAATCAATTAATCCAGACAACATAAATGGTAGATAAAAATGCCTCCATGCATAATAATGCCCAGGACATGTCACATGTGAATATTTATACATACACATGTATATTTATAGATATGGGTAAAAATCTCTAAAATTAACCTTGGGAATTTGGCATTAAGAATCTCCTTTTTTCCATATTTCCTCCAAGAAAATGCGTCCTCAAGTAGAGTTGACTCTACAGTCCACGTATCAGCTTTCTTTCTGCTCACAATAATGTAAATTAATAAACAAAGAGATTTGTTTTTATGTACTGATTGTATGCTCAACAAAACAAACTAGAATAACTAAGGGGTATTTTTTTGTAAAGGAGACCCGAGCATATAACTTTGGTTTGGTTTCTACTAATACCACAACCGTGTCATAATTAGCTAGGATTCAAGCTATTGCGTTTGTGAATTTTATTCTCAAAAAGTAAGCGAGAGAAGTTAAAACTTACTTTCTTTTGTAGCATCCTCTTTTACCCTTAACGGGTCCCAATCTTTTCTGACTATCAACGGAATCCTCAAGCTTGCCTTCATTGTTGCAGGAAGCATTTTGAGAGCCTTCAACGGTGGTGATGAGAAAGGAGGAGGATATGGGCTCAAGCGAATCAAGAGTAGAGATTGTGTCACTATAAGACCCCAAGATTTTAGCCACGAGATCCTCCGCTGAACCAAGACCTGACCCGTGTTGAGAGAGGAGTTGCTGAAGCTTAGTGGCCAACTCGTGGCCTTGAACGAGTTGGTCCATAACTTTTAGCATTATTGCTTTGTTGTTATTAGCAATATCCATTTTGGTTGTAGTTTTTGATGGGTTTTATTTGTTCCTCTCTTGGTGTGGGCTTATATGACTAAAGGGAAGAGAAGTGTGTGTGTAGATATAATGGAGAAAAGAAACTTGTAATAATGCAGTCTTCTTCTTTTCTTAGATTTCTTTTTGATTTTTTTTAGAGAGAGGAAGATGTGAGGAAATGAGAGAGACAGCAAGGGGGCTGAATTTCCACACTTTTTTCATATGCTTAGGGGACCATCGTGACGTTTGATCGAGTGACGTCGGGGTGATGACATCACTCTTTGCTTGATGTGAACGGATAAAAGAGTTTTACTTAAAACATTTCTAAAATAAATTCTAAAATAAATTTCTAAAATAACATTTCAATTATAGAGTTTTTTGTTTTAAAAAAAAACTTCAAAACTTAAAATTTAAAGTTTTGAGCCGTGAAACTTCAGAAAATCTCCAAAAAACTCTCTATTTTGAAGTTTCCACTATATTTAAAGTTTCAAGTTGTTCTCCTCCAAAAACAAAACTTCTAACTTAATTTTAAAATTATTTATATTTTATACTATAGTTCTTATATTTATCATAGTTAATGCAAACTGATAAAACTTTTATAAATAACATAGATATATAAAAATTATACATTAATATTAATTAATAAAAGCTTACAGTAAAATAAAAAAAATTATAAATACAAATACATAATTAAGTATTAAGCAAAATACCATATTTTTTTGTCTAATTCTATTATTAAAATATTTAACTACAGGCAAATATTAAGTATCTTTTGTAATATTCTTGTTGTCTAATTTTAGTTTTAAAGTATTATATATTTCATTTTAAAACTTACTTAATTCATCTATAAAAATTAATTTTAAAAAAAAATAAAAAATTAATTTGAAATATTTATGAGATCAAAATTTGTAGTATTAATCCGATAAACCAACAAAATATTTATGAATTATAAATTTTATTTGTAATTGTAAAAATCAAAATGCAAATAAAAAGATGAAACTTCAAATTTGAAGTTCTCTTTTGAAGTTCAAAAAACTCTATATTTGAAGTTATAGAGTTTCTTTTGGAAATGCTCTCATATTTGAAGTTTCATCGTCTTAGTTATATTTTGGTCTATACAATTACAAATATAATTTATAATTCATAAATATTTTCTTGTTTATTATTTTAATCCATAAAATTTTTATATCTCATAAATATTTCAAATTATAAATTTAAGTTTTAGACATAAAACTAAATAAATATTTTATAATAAAATTTAAAATATTTACTTGTAGTTTAATATTTAAAAAGAGTAGAGTTAACATGAATGTGGTATTATGCTTGTAGTTAATAGTTTATTATGTATTTGTATTTATAATTTTATATTTTAGTGTAACATTTTATTAAATAGTATTGTTGTATAATTATATATATATATATATTTGCTATTTATAAATGTTTTCTGAATTTATATTAACCATGACAAATATAAAAACCATAATGTAAAAATATAAATAATTTTGAAGTTTTGGTTTTAGAGAAAAACACTTTGAAATTTTAAATATAACCTTGAAATTTCAAATATAGAGTTTTAGAAACTTCAAAATAGAGGGATTTTTTTGAGATGCTCTTAGAGCATCTCCAAAAAAAACTCTATAACTTCAAATATAGAGATTTTTACTTTCTAAAATGAATTTCAAAACTTTGAATTTGAAGTTTTAAGAAGTATTTGAAGTTTCACTATTCAAAACTCCAAATTTGAAGTTTCATCTTTTTATTTGCATTTTAGTCCTTACAATTATAAATAAAATTTATTTTAATACTAAAATTAGAAAAATAATATTACAAAATAAACTTAATATTTTCCTGTAGTTAAATATTTTGATAATATAATTAGACAGAAAATATGGTATTTTTCTTAATATCTAATTATGTATTTGTATTTATAATTTTATATTTTAGTGTAAGCTTTTATTAATTAATGTTGATATATAATTTTTATATATGTGTTTTTTATAAAAGTTTTATGAATTTACATTAACTATGATAAATATAAAGACTGTAGTGTAAGATATAAATAAATTTAAAATTAAATTTGATTTTTTTTCTTTTAGAAAAAATACTTTGAAACTTTAAATATAAAGTTTTAGAAACTTCAAAATAGAAAATCTTTCTGGAGATGCTTTTAAAACAGCTCCATTACCTCTAATGGAGGGTTTTAGATTCGGAATTCTCAATATATATATATATATATACTTTTTTGAGAATTTTGGAGTTAGAAATCTCAATTGAATACGCTAGGATCATTTAATCAATTCCATAAACTTTGGATTATAATCTGTACTTCTTTCGTTTTTAATAAATGACTTTTGAGAATTATTTTTGTGTTTTTAATTACATGATATTTTACAATTTAATGTAAAATACATTATTTTTATGCTTTATGACTTTTATATTATGTATAATATTTTTCTATTGGTTAAATTATGATTAATTAGAAAATTAAAGATTTTTTCTTTAGAAGATATATAGAAAAATGTTTTTTATAATCTATGTAACAACTCCAAAACATCAAATAAAAAGAAATGGAAGGAGTATTTAGAAAATCATTATATAATTTCCGAATGATCAAACTCTTGCATGATGTCTCTATAATATTATTTGAGAAGTCAGTTTCCTACGTGTCGCGCTCACGTTAACTTTCGCGATGGTTGATTACATAGATACCCTTAATGAATTGTTAGATTTTAAGATTATTATTTTTATTTAGTTTTTTTTTTAAATTTTTCCAAATAACATATATAATAAAAAAAAGAAATATTTCTAAAATTTTAAAACAAAATAGAAAACGAAAATATATGTATATAATATGATTTTATTAAAAAGGAAAGTTAACAAAATAGTAACACCCCCATTAATATATATTTTTAAATTACATAAAATATAATTTCAAAATAATAAGAATATATATGTTCATGAATATCAAAAAGTATGTCAGTTATACTTTATTTTCTAATATTTTTAGAAATCAACTTATAATTTGATAAATATTATGAAAATACATGTATATTTAAGCGATAAATAAAACTAATTTGATTTGACTTAACTAAAATAAAAAGTAATTATACTTCAGTTTTAAGAAACATTTCTAAAATTTTAAGACAAATTTAAAAACGAAAATATATGTATATAATATGAATTTATTAAAAAGGAAAGTTCACAAAATAGTAATATCTCCATTAATATATATTTNTGACTTAACTAAAATAAAAAGTAATTATACTTCAGTTTTAAGAAACATTTCTAAAATTTTAAGACAAATTTAAAAACGAAAATATATGTATATAATATGAATTTATTAAAAAGGAAAGTTCACAAAATAGTAATATCTCCATTAATATATATTTTTAAATAACATAAAATATATTTTCAAAATAATAAAAATATATATGGTCATGAACATCAAAAAATTTATCAGTTACACTTTATTTTCTAATATTTTTTAGAAATCAACATATAATTTGATAAATATTATGAAACTACATGTATATTTAAGCGATAAATAAAAATAATTTGATTTGACTTAACTAAAATAAAAAGTAATTATACTTCAGTTTTAAGAAACATTTGTAAAATTTTAAGACAAATTTAAAAACGAAAATATATGTATATAATATGAATTTATTAAAAAGGAAAGTTCACAAAATAGTAATATCTCCATTAATATATATTTTTAAATAACATAAAATATATTTTCAAAATAATATATATGCATGAGACTTCAAAATATTATCATTATATTCATATGTAATTTTGAATCAAACACTGCAGCTTATTATGTATTTCATTTTAAGCACAACATATATTAAGTTATACATAATTTAACTAAATATATTTACATATCTAAGAATATGTTTACATATCTAAAGAAAATAACCAACCAAAAGGAAAATAAAAAATTAATCAAAGTTTTATTATATTTAGAATATAAAAAAATTATAGCTGAATCCGAAAAATAGATATTATCGAATATACCGAATTGATAACCAAACCGACTATCGATCCGAAAAATAATTAAACCGACAATAATATATCCAAAGTCATATGTATAATTAGAATAATATACTATTTATTAATATAAATTATACATATAAATTAATTCAAAAATCAAACTAAATATCAATCAATTATTATAAAATTTTACTTTCATGAATATTCATGAAAATTGATATCCGTGCATGAGCACGGAAAAATCACCTAGTAGAAAGTGTTTACTCAGTTACAAGGAAAAAATGTAAGTGATTACATTACTCTAATATACTCCTATTTTGTATAGTACTTTCCTTTTTGTCACGTTTGAGTAGTACTTTAATGTGTAGCAACTACACGTACTCTTTTTTTGTTTAACACCATGTAAATTCATTATCGTAAAGCAACATTTCAATCTCGAAAGTGTAATGAGAGAGATTAGAAGAATACAAGCCACCAAAAGGGCCTAAACCAATAAACCAGCAACAGAGATAACAAGGCAACTACTCGTACTCTATTTGCTATTACTCAATTGTATACGAGATAATCTTATCTAGCTAGTTCAGATAGATTTGTGGATATCCCATTCTGACGTGCAGCCGGACTCCTCTGATGTGGAATCGTCTGATTCTGAGCTGGAAGAAGGTGAAATCAGTAAGCATGAGCCTGATTTCGAGGTAGTCCGCAACAAGAAGAGATTCTCAGGTCAAAAAGGTAAACGGGGCGGGGGCCCCAAACTCAATTAAATTTTATGTCGACAGACATTTTTTGTTGGAACATACGCGGTTTAAATAAATACAGTCATCGCAGCGGATTAAGAAAATGGTTTAGGAAGCATACTCCTCTTTTTGGCGCTCTTCTTGAGACTCATGTGAAGCAACTCAAGATGAACAAATTTGTCTCGGAGCTTTTTCCGGGTTGGTCTACTGATAATAATTACGGCTTCTCCCCCCTGGGGAAAATATGGATCCTTTGGCATCCATCTCTTTTGGTTAATGTCATCTCTAAATCTCTTCAGATGATC